CAGTGCGAAGTGGAGAAGGTGAGCTTTGCGCTGGCCGGGGCTTAGGCAAAAGAGAGAGTTCTGATTGGCTCCTGGAGGTTTTCCAGGGGCTGCGGACAATCCAGGCTGACTGCTCACGCGTACAGTGTGCTATTGAATGCACCGTATCGGAGTCATTAATCAACCGCAGTCAGTCTCTTCAGGGAGAGGCCCGCTCTCCGTTACTCACTCACCAAATGAGGAGTGTGGTTATAACCTCTGACCCTGCTGAGGGTGCATACCTCACTATAATGGGAAGGACTTCAAGCTACCGCTGAGGGACTCTCTGAACTAATACTATGACAGTGATAGCATTGCAGGGTTTTACTGTTTTGGCAGTACTTTCGGTTGGTAGCTATTTAAAGTCATGGCTTCAAATGGCTTGCCAACACCAGTCAGGAAAATACAGACATGAAGTATGAATTGACCGAGCTGTTGCCGATGGTTTCTAATGAAATTTGGGATCTCTCTCTGTTCAATAATTCATGAATACTTCCTACTCAAATCAGAAATTGATAACTTAAATAACAAGAGGGTGTTTGGTGTACACCTTTCTCCTTCAGTTCTGCTCCGTTCCTTCTGTGGTGGGTGGTATGACCAGAATTCTGTTTCACGGTATGGCTAATTTTATTTCATGGTAACGATACATTTCATGATATATTGTTATTTATATATGTAGTTATTCTGAAAATCGACAAAAAGGGCTTTATATAATAAACGCAAATACTTTAGAAATGAAAAGTACTTCACCTTGTTTGGTTTTTATTTTTATTTGACTTTTAGATTAACTGAAATTGTTCTCATAATAAATTGAAATAAATTCTCATGTTATTATTTTACTTCAATTAGTTTATAATATCTAAATATTTTATATTGAAATATTCTATTCATAATAAACTATTTAATTTTGCAGGATAATATTAATATTAGTTATATTGTTTACAATTGTTTCCTGGTATCTGCTTATTATACTGCGTTTTTAAGGGGCTTTTTTTGCTCTTTTTTTCTTGTTTTTTTATAACTGGCAACACTTCACCTTGAATTTAATCAAGAGAGGAAAGAGTTCAGTAGTGACTAGAAGGAGAGCAGCAGCATGCAAACTGAACATCAGCTACTGTTAGTGCTGACTAAGTAATTAAAATTATACACGCCTTTATAACCGCATCATTATTTGACTCCAGCCCGGTGAAGACTGACATGCCACTCGGCCTTTCATATTCGCCTCTCGCTGCGTGCGCACGTCTTCTGCATTATTAAAATGTGATCGGTTAATTTCAGCGTCAAGTTGAGAGACGTATCCAATCACAGGAGGTTATTATCAGCTGGTTCCGATCAGTGTCCGATCGTTTGACGTTAGAAAGATAAAATATGCACTGTTGCATTTTCAATTTCAATTTTGCCTCCGATACAGGATTATGTACATATGCTTTAACATGCAACGTGTTCATTACCACGGCAACTGCTTGCGCATCCATGTTGAATGTGATTCTTGTGTGTAAAAGTTAACTGTACACATAAGAGGCAGAAAAATGTTAATAACTATACATTATTTAAGGCTGTTACCGTATATATACCGTGATACCACCCAGCCCTAGTTCCTTCCTATAATTCTCCCTATCTGCCTTTTTGCACAAACAAGAAACTGACAACATAACTTCAAGGCAGTTTACTCTCCCTGCTTGTTTAAAAAAAAAAAATCAAGTTTATTTAGCTCAAATAAAATTCCTTTTTGAGATCACCTTGCCTGTGGTCATATTCTCAGTTCTCAGCTTGAAGCATTTTAATAGCAGAAGATTGCTCGAGTTTTGAATTTTGCCAGGCTCTAGTTTAAAAATCCTGAAAAATAAACTTGACATCACCTTGCGTACGTCGGGTTACTGGGTTTTCAGTCACTGATGTTTATTTATATCATATTCTTCAGATCTCTCTCGCGGCACATTTATATTTCAGCTGTGAGCTTTGGTAAATGTGTTTTTTATGGCATCAACAGTGAATTCTGTATTTGCTTTGAGGGTTGGAAAGGGACAGGACTAGTCCTTCCAGTTACAGATGTATGAACTATTTGTTCTAAGAATCATCAACTATGTCGTCTTTTTGGCATATTAAACAGAAATAAATTAAGGTGTCTTTTTTGTTTGATTAATTTTAACAAAAAAGTAAAACAAAAAATGTGTTATTGGACTTATCCACCTTGGCTCTTTTTTTCAAAGTTAGAGTCTGTGATTAAACATCGGTGACTTGCTCCAGCTGGAATGCGTGACTCAATGCCTTTTATAAGCTTGTCCAATAGCATGGGCCCCTGGGGGTGATGGACAAGTGGTGTCACCATGGTACCAGGGCAAAGGGAGCTCTTCCCCCTTTGCCAACTGCACTGTTGTCGGCAAACCTATTACTGCTCGCCCTCTCCCCCAACCTACATACATCCCTGTCAAATCCTAATCTCCCGGAGCGTCCAGTGGACTGTTTCAGGCTTCCAACACAATGGCCCTCTGTAGTGGTGCTGGCGTGTAGAAACTGGCCTTCGGGATCCTTTTTTTTTGCGACCGATGCAGCTTCTTGTGCCGGGCTGATCAAGGGAGGAATGCTGTGATAGGCCCCTTTTTCCACCTTTTTGAGAGCAGCCCACCATTCCTGAGAGCTGAAAGGGCGTCTTTATCCCTAACCGGAGATGAGGTTTAAGTTCTTTCGTGTACCTGCCAATTCCATCAGGCTCTTTGTGAATGCTCAATGGTGGGACTGTAGTGCGGAAAGCTGAAGAGAGTCATGCTACGGACTGTACCTCCAGCCATACCTGTCAGCGTCAATGATGTGCTATAAGACTTCAGGCATTCTGCAGATTAAAAAAAAAAAAAGGGGACACGGTTTTCAGCAGGGGGTGGAGTTCTGATCTTTAGTCTACAGTTCATGTCACATAAGATTGACTTGGCGAGTTTAAAACCGGAGGATTGGTGGCGTTTAAAGCACATGTTTGGTAGGTATTACAAATCAGCATGATCATATGCTGTCTGAGGTGTGGAATGTTTAAAGAGTGAGTGTTTTTTGTGATAGAGCCTCGCTGAAGGAAGTCGTGGGTGCAGGTGTCTCAGTAGTAACATATTCATGAACAACAGTTCTCTAATCTTTATATGTGGCAGGAGGTGGAGTTCTGATCTTTAGTCTACAGTTCATGTCACATAAGATTGACTTGGCGAGTTTAAAACCGGAGGATTGGTGGCGTTTAAAGCACATGTTTGGTAGGTATTACAAATCAGCATGATCATATGCTGTCTGAGGTGTGGAATGTTTAAAGAGTGAGTGTTTTTGTGATAGAGGCTCGCTGAAGGAAGACGGTGCAGGTGTCTCAATAGTAACATATTCATGAGCAACAGTTATCTAATCATTTTATGTGAGCATAAAAACATGTTAACATCCTGTTTGTAATTGCCTGACTTTTCTAACTCTCCATCAAGACCAAAACGTAGGGCTTATCCATCAGGAATTGACTGAGTATTGATTGAAAGGGAGGGGTTGCACAACAACAGGGCTTGCCAGAAAGTAAAATGGGTTCAGAGGCAATTTGTTACTTTTTTTTTTTATTTTTTTTTTTATGATTGAGGACACCCGTCTTTGGAACAACATGCACCAATGAATAGTTCACTTTAAAACCAGAAGTATTAGGAAATATTTTTTGTAACATTTCAAACATTTTCTTTGGTATGTGAAAATTGAAAAATGGGACTGTCTTCACTCCTTGCAAAATCTGAATAACGCATTTTTGGCAGATTTATTTGTTGGCCTGTGAGGTACATCAGCAGTTATTTTAAGTCTCCACTTGCATAATAAAAGTTCCTATTGGAAACTAACAAGTCAGAGACTCTGGACTTTGGTGATTCTTTCCAAACAACTCTAAACTTGAGAGCCAGCACAGATTACAGTCGGACACTAAATCCCAATGATTCAGTCAGTGGTGACTTGAAATGAATAGCTTATCGAACTGAACAAATCTGATTTGAATTTATTTTTATTTGAAAATCTATGAAGGAAGCTTCCCAGCAGTTTGTCGGCTGATGACGATCCTTGGCTTGCACAGAGTTGAGTAAATCCAATGTTTTGTTAAACATTCTCTGAAATTCCTATTCATAACCTGCAAACATACCTTATGTTCTATCACAGTATCACAATATTATTGCTCTCGATGGTATTTGTGTTTTTTTCCCCATCCACCATGTGTCTTAGAAAGACACCGAATGATTATCTAAACATTCAGACAGTGTTTTGTCTGTGTCTAGGTGAGACCCCAAAATAAACCTGCCTTTGAAAATGATTGTTGAATGTTTGGACTTTGTTATAGGAGTATCTTCCCTGCTGGCTTTCAGAATGAATCTCCGAAGGATAGCAGGGTGAATTGGACATACAGTGTTGTTGTTTGGGAGTCTTCTGAAGAAGCTCCTCTCGAACCCCCACTGAACAGAGGGAGCGTGAGAGACCGTATATATCTCGTATCCACTTCCCTCGTTCATAGGTTGGCCACAAGGACTCGAGAGCAGTTCTCGGGGGAAATCAGCTGCATGGTACAGAGAAGCTCCCTCTTCAAATGCATCAAATCTGCAGCCCACCCTGCAATAAACCCATCCATCTTTTCTCCGCAGGCTTTTTCGTCTTCCTCTCTGAATGAAAGACCTGCATGAATAACAAACCTCTAGAGTGTAGAGCTCCGCCCCCCCCATGAGACAATTCAGACGGTTTGCATTCCTCTGAAGTGTTTTAACCAGTCGGTCGCTATGGACTGACCCCCTGTCTCCGTCCATTTCTTTCGACACTCATGGAGCGGGTTACTCTTCCAGTGCAGGTTTTTTTCAGGGACATGTTCGGTGACGAATGAGGCAGAGAGGGAATGAAAGGCACAGTGTGAGAGGAGAAAAGGGAGAGAAAGCTGTGAATGGTAATCAGATTAGTTTTGATCCACCTGTGTATGTGTGCATGTGGGTAAGCAAGCAGTGCGAAACATCATCGCTGGCAGAGACCGAAGATCTGGCTTATACCATTAACCTAAAGTGATTTACGGCCCCGTAATGATACGTCACTTATTTGATACCTTGGTTGGTATTTGAAATGGTTCGTGTTCTAATTGACTACTGTAATTGTCATGTAGTAAAAAACTAGTAAGGCCAACAAGTTTATCGCTTGTGCCTAATTTTTGCATCCCGATACATAATTTATTTTGTGCCGTGAGCATTGCGTTTTTAATATCTAAAAACTATTAATAGCTACAAAACTATCTTTGATAATGCATCTCGTGTTTTTGAATGCAACAATGTGTTTTATATAAACACCCACTTTATAAACACTTCCGAATCTCTGAACCTGTAGATGGTTGGGTAAACCCAAACAAATACGTAGCTTATACCAATAGCCCTTTTCCCCATTTCAGGCCGTTTATGGCACCAATATGACGCATCACTCTGAAGATGCATTGGTCAGACATGTCGGTGTCATCTTTTGCTATTGAAATGCTTGTTAATTAATTCCTCTCTTTCTCTTTCTCAATGCAGGTCTTAGAGGCAGCCCCTAAACTATGGGATTTCAGAACTACTGAGGGCACTTTCACAAAAGGAGGGAAAAGGGGCCGGCATCGAGAACAAAAGAAAAGGATTGAGCTTTTGAAAAGCGGATCGGTTCTTTCGGACTCAGCGGGGTGCATGCTGCCCCCTCAACTGGACGTCCTCTTTTGTGCGAGCAAGAGAAAATAAAAGCAGGCATGCGCAATAAACTGAGAGAGTTCCGGGATGGGGGACGACCCATGCTGGGGCAGAGGGACAGGACTCTTCTGGTGCTGCTGATCACAATGGTGCTGACAGTAACGGAAGTGTGGGCTTCCTGGGATCAGAACCCAATGGACGTTTTAGGCGATGTAAGGCAGCTGGAGGCTTCTATGCACTCTGTGGTGCTGTCGGACATACGTGAAGTGGAAGCGGCGGTTGCAGCGATGTCGCAGCCCAGCGGCTTCCCAGACTCCTCAGCGGTGGTGGGCAGGGTGTTCCAAATGCTGGTGCCCATCAAAGCAAAGAACTCCAGGAACACCGTAAAGGTGAGATGCTGTTCCTTCAAAGCACATAGCATCCTTCAAAATGCATTGCAAATGCATGCAAACATATTTGTCCTCTGGTGCTCAGCGGATTGTCTCTCGTATATCTGATAGCGCCACATCAACACTCCCCAGCCAGTGTAGTCAGTCAGTGCAAAAGACGTGACTTTGCCCCAAGCACTGCTCAAATCTTATTCTATGCTTTCCTTCTGACTGATGGACCATCAAATGTGTTGGTCCCTGTAATAACGCAATACTGCTTGCATACACGTGGTCCACATACTTGATGGCATAGAGTTTTCAGAAAACTGTGAGCTGATGCATTGGGAGCACTTTACATTTAGATCAACAGCATAAACAAATCTGTTTGTTTACCAGAACTCTGTGAGGGCATGGAATTTATTTTCTGCTTTTGTGTAGATGATGCTACAATTGGTTATTTGTATATAGCCCAGCAAGGTGTGTGCTTCTATCATCTTGTCAGCTTGCTTTTCTTTCTTTCAGAAAACCGAGCAGTGCACTAATGGTACAAACACAATGCAGCCCTGACCAGGCGTCTTTTGTTGACCACCCAGCAGTTTATGAGACATTAATAACCAAGCAGTCCATGTCAACTGTTCTCAAAAGCGCCCCTGTCCGTATCTGTTCATTGTGTTTCTCTGTCCTGTCTGAATGTTGGGCGGCTCTCCCAGGCCTTCTGTGTAATGCTATATTCACTGGATAATTTCTGCCCTGTCAAGCGCATTTTTAAGTTGAAACCACAAACCCCTTTGTGCACTTTCGGAAAATCTGTCTTGACAGCTGTGCCAAAGAATCTAACGCCCAACAGTTAATGCTGCCTACAGCTGTTCCCTTGCATAACCATTCAGACCTGTCCAGGCCCACAATGAACTTCCCATCTCATTCCTTAACAGCGTTTAGAATCAACTTTGTAAACTATAAATAATTTTCTAGTCTCAGGAAAAAAGGAGCGAGTCAGGCTTGAGGACAAAACGCTATGAACTATTAAAACTACAACTGCAGTGTTTAACTAATTGGAGTGGTTGTGCATGAAAACTGTACAAAAACATGGCACAAAAACATGAGTGTTGAAGGTGGTTATCAGGGACTGGCTATGAGGTTTTCTGGGTGGTTGCGTTATAACCCAAAAAAGACATGTATTTTGATCATACTGTCATCTGTAAATATGGCTTCAGTATAAATCGAAACGGATAAAACCATTTTGCCATAAAAAAAAGAAAAGAAAAAAAGATTTCATTCTAACAAGAAATTTTGGTAACACTTTATTTTAAGATGTACTTGTTACACATTTTACATGTACTTACTGTTATAATAACAATTAATTATGCCTAATTACATGCAAGTAACCCTAAGCCAAATCCAAACCCTAACCATAGTAAGTACATGTAGTTAATTAATATTACTCAGTACTTAAATGTATAATTACACTGTAACAAAATAAAATAAAGTCTAACCTAAATTCTTTACCAAATAACTCAATGAACTGTAAATGAATTTATTCTAAATCTAAAAATAAATCAGAATTATGTTTTCTTTTGCATTTTGTGTTTATCCAACTGTATATTTATATGATTACCATTCATTGCTTAACAAATGTGACCCTCTCTGTGAAATACAGGCTAAAGTCTCAAAATCTAATTATGAGATAACTCAGTGAAGATAATTCACTGTTCGCATCTGTTTTTAGATTTGAGCACCTTAAAAAATCCCGCAGCTGATATTCTGAGAAATACACACCTGATCCCACACATACGGTTATAGCTGAACCTGACTAATTAAAGAGTAATCAGCTCTAATCCACAATCCTGATTGGTCTGCTCATTAACATATCCTGGAATGTTCTCGTGTGTGTGTGTGTGTGTGTGTGTGTGTGTGTGTGTGTGTGTGTGAGAGAGAGAGTGTGTGTGTG